TTGTCCCAGCGATCGAGTCGTCTTCTTCTCAGGAACAGTAGTTGTAGAGTTTAATAGAATTGCTGGCGGTAATAGCAGTAGTAGTGCTAGTAGTAGCAATAGTCATAGGCGCGGCAGCAGTCGTATTAGTAGTTGCCGTAGTACTATTTGGTGTAATAGAAGTAGTAGTTGAAGTACTATTAGTGGTAGTAGGAACCGTTATATTATTAGTAATTTTGGAAGTATTATTAGTAGTAGGGGTAATAGTGACAATAGTAGCAGTAGTACTGCTACTACCTCTACCATTACTTCCACGATTATTACTACTACGGCTACCAATCGAACTACCGTAACTACTACTGCTGCGGCTATTCCTATCACAATGATATGGCAATTACTATTTCTATTACTTGCATTGCTACTACTACTCCTAATATTGCTATGATATCTACGGTACTACGACTACTATTACTACAACGCTACCTCTTGCCACTATTACCGCGATAAGTACTACCGCGCGATGCATACCGCATGTGGGGGAGGGCACGCCCGAAGCCCCGCAACTGGTTTTGCTCGACAGTCGAGGTGTTCACTGGAGGTGGCCGCTAGGTAGACCTCAGCTCTGAGGAGTCACAAGTTAAAGCTTTGTGTCAGTTGAGGACGCTAGGCGTAGGCACTATTTACACGCGGCAGATAATGCGACCTGTCAAGACCTTCACTTTGAACTGGACACCCCGTTACCCCTGACACCCTGTATAATTTGACATGGACAGTACTTTGGGATTGAAAATGCATAAATTTGCATTTTATCCAGACAGAGCGACGGTTTTTTCAGCTCGTACACCATCGATTGGGATGCTAGGTCCTTTCAGACAGTCAGCGAGGTATGAACTATTAGGAAATGGCATAACAAAAACATTCGTTTCATCCCCTAGAAACTTTGTCTTTAGGCATACACGAATTCTATTTTAGTAAAATATCGTGCGGTTTCAAAATTACTTCTGAGTGAGAACAAAGTACACAGAAATGTATCGAGACAGACAAACATCTCTACATTGCAGATATGACAATCCTGGATGTATTTTTATGCATTTCTTCCTTTCTTTGTTTAACGATGATGATATTTAATTTACGCAGACCACAGCAGGGAATACCTTACGCTTCAGTAATTCATTTGGAGGCTGAGATCGCAGTTACAAGGAACGATACTGCTAAAAAATAAATGCATCTCGAATAAATAAATAAATATAAAGTTCCTTGGATTGTGAATCTCATAGCACAGAGTAAGGCATACTAGATAGAACTTGCAAGCCTTGCTTTTAACCTCCAAGCTGTTACAATCACCTCGATTTATGCCAACGTATATAGTTGCGTTATTTCACAGTTGGAACAAGTGGAAATTATTCCACCGATCCGTGCTATAAGATCATGTCCTTTATAAAGCTATTCGAATTTGTTTAGCCTTCCGAATGTTTATTTCTTGTCGAGTTGGACTCAGTTTCTACAGTTGAAAGTTTAAATAATTGCCCTCTTCTGGAAAATTTGTTTTTATTGTTCGTTCGAAAACTTGCGCAAGATACATCTTTTTACTGACATATCACTGCACACTGAGCGTTTAGCCTTCACAGATTTTTGTCAAAGCGGACTTATTTTATACTGGGTCTATCCATAGGAAGGAATATATATATATAGATAGATTCTTACCTAATACAAGTGTGCTGAAAACTTAATTTGTCCAGCAAGATATATTACATTTTAAAAATGACGGCGTAATTCACGAAAAATTGTAGATAAACACAGAAATAAATAATTTGCCTAAGCTTGCTGGGATGATTGAAAATTATTTGTGATACTAATACTGGAGGGAAGTCTTTCACACAGTGCACTAAAAAATTCAAAGGAAACGTCCTTACACCTACTACGCGCGAATGGTTAAAACTCCTTTATTAACATTTATCCCGAGCTTGACTGTGGCATAATGGTGCCCGATGGGCTTTCGCAAATGATCACAAACAATTGTTTTGGTGGATACGGATCTTTTAAAATGAGAAACATCGTGCTTTGCAACAAAATACTTTAGAATAGTTTCCTCTTGGTAAGACACTGTAATTGGAAGAAGTGTAACAAAAGTGACCGTATGCTAAATTCCAGGGGAGGTAATGATCAGGATTAAAGTTACGGTAAGGACTATAGTGTGTGTTGGTACATGCAAAAATGTATTATTCTTGAAAAATAAGCCCAAATTCATCTGTGCTACGACGGCTTCCTCTTCCCGTGTCTGATCCCTCGATTTTATCAAAGTTCTTTCGTCTACCGACTTAGATAAATGATATTTAACCCTTGACGCTTACTGAACATTACTCGATTCGGCCCTTGAAATGTATATTCATTTTTCATGGTCCTGCATTTTTCTATTCACTCAACAGTATGGTTCACTTGTAAAATTTGTTCCTTTGGGGTTGCTGTACATACTCTATGCAGACTATTAAGTTACCCACTGGACATGAGTCCATGCAAAAGCCCATAATATAAGTAGGCCCTGGATGTAAGTTATGGTCATCATAACTCATACTGTGCTTCAGTCCGGTATCATAGATTTATCGGCCTTGACCTTACTGGGATGACGTAACCTCCTTATCTTGCTAAGAACTTAACCAAAGAGGTCGACACCTTTTCGCATATACAAACGGACATTGTTTTTGGTCTCTCTCCTCGAAGCTGGGGTTCGATGGAACCCCATGAAACACTGGACTGTCATCATAACAAAATGCAGAACAGCGTAAGACTTCTAGGAATGACGACTTCTGGCTTAGTCATCGTCGTCAGCCGGGTAGCCCTTGTCTTTAATGGCAATCCTTCTGCGTCATTATTTGTCCTCGTGCAGATACCCACACGGGCTCCAGACTGGAGAATTAAGCCAAAAGTCTGGACGAGCCGTTTGGTAACCGGCTTGTTAAAAGTCCCGGTAAGTTTACTGAACTAACGATTTTATCGCAAAGTGTGTGTGAGTATGCACTTATCATAAAGAAGAAATAACAAGGTTTTAAGTCCAAACACCTCGCCATCTCCCTCTCGCTTCATTTGAGTTTCAGCAAATGACCGGAACGGCTCCTCCGCTGGCTGGTTTCTTGCTTCCGGCCTGGTTGATCCACGTGGAACTTGCTGCCACTGTTAAGACTACCACTTTTGCTTAATGTGACCGGGCTTCCTCACTCTCTCCCTCCGGCCACATATATCTCGCTTTTATAATCCTGCCAATAACATTTTATGTCCTCAGCTGTAAAACTCCGGCTCCAGAAGTGTACTCACTCACGCACGCACGCAGGGTAGAACTGCTGACTCCTCCTCCTCCAAATCATCACGAACATGTGCTGTGCAGCGCAGCCCCGTTTTATAGTCGCACTTTGCACTGTCAACACACACACACACACACACACACACCACAGTTGCCCTCCGCTTCCCCTTGATCGCTTTCACGCCACGTGCGGCCGCGCTCACGAAGAGGGCATAACAACACAATAAAAAAAGATGAAACGCAGCCGCGCACGCGCGCGCGCACGCACACGCATGTCCACTTCTCGCTCCAGCCGCAGTCCATCCCCAGCACCCCTCCCCCATCTTACGCCCTTCCCCTCTA